TACTTTTTCTAAATATTAGTACCCTGGCCTTTGTTGCTGTCCATTTTTTGGGGAGGAATATTTTTTTCCAACCCTTCACTTTCAGTCTGTGTATGTCTTTTGTACTGATGTAGGTCCCTTCAGATACTCTATGTCTATTAATTGCAGCTTTAATCTACTTACATTTAAGTTTATTATTAATAAGTCCTTATTCACTGCCACTGTACTCCCTTCGTACCTGTGTTCCTATCTCTATCACTCTTTTTTTTTTCCTTTTCTTAAAGTAGACCCTTTACCAATTATTGCAGAGCTAGTTTGGAGGAGATGTATTTTTTCAGCCTTGCTTTGTCTGGGAAACTCCTTATTTTACCTTCCATTTTATTTATTTTTTTAAAAGATTGTATTTATTTATTTTTAGAGAGAAGGGAAGGGAGGGAGAAAGAGAGGGAAAGAAACAATGTGTGCTTGCCTCTCATGTGCCCCCTACTTGGGGACCTGGCCTGGAACCCAGGCATGTGCCCTGACTGGGAATTGAACCAGTTACCCTTTGGTTTGCAGCCCCATGCTCAATCCACTGAGCTACACCAGGCAGGGCTCACCTTACATTTAAAATGAGAGAATTGCTGGGTAAAGTAGTCTTGTTTGCAGGCTTTGCTTTTCATTGCAATATTTCTTTCCATTCCCTTCTGGCTTGTAGTGTTTCTGTTGAGAAGTCAGCTGTTAGCCTTATCAGAGCTCCCTTGTATATTACCTACTGTTTCTCCTTTGCTGCCTTTAAAATTTTTTGCCTTTGAATTTTGCCATTTTAATCATGATGTGTCTTAAAGTGGGGCTCTTTTGGTTCATCCTTATTGGGACCCTGTGTGCTTCCTGGATTTGTGTGACATTTTCCTTCATCACATTAGGGAAGTTTTCCATCATTACTTTTTCAAACAGGTTTTCTATCCCTTGTTCATCTTCTTCTCCTTCTGGCATCCCTAGTATATGAATATTATTATGTTTCATATTGTCTTCCAATTCCCTTAACCCTCTTCATTCTTAGTTTTCCTTTTCTTGCTCTTTCTGGGAGTTTTTTTTCCTACCTTGTCCTCCAGCTCACTGATTCAATCCTCTGCTTCATCTAGCTTGTTCTTGATTTCTTCTTCTGTGTTCTCAACTCAGAATTTATATTCTTAATTTCCTCCTTGCTCTTGTTGATAGTTTCTATATCTGACATGTTTCACATGAATCTAGTTTCACATGATTGTAGTTCTCAGTAAGTTCTTTCTAGCTTCCCTGTATTTTTAGTTATTTTCACTGAGCTTATTGAGCTTCCTTATAATGACTTTTTAAAAAATTCAGTGTCTGATAGATTACTTGCCTCTATTTCACTTAACACTTGTTCTAAGAGAAACAGTCTCCCTTCCTTTCATTGGGGGTGTTTCTTTGTCTTCCCATTTTGTGGGGGGGGGGAATCCTGTTTTCTTCTGCACTTAAATTGAGCTGTTTTGACTCCCTGTCTTCATGGTGTGACTTCTGATTTAGTGTGAACTTCCGTGTGATTTAGTGGTACAGTCTCCTTGATCTAAATTTGATGCTATTATGATGCCCTTTCCTCATTTATGTTGGCTCTCTGGATGTAACTGGGGTTTGATTTTTGTTGAGTTGTTCTTTGTTGGATCTTTCCCTCCAGCTGGTTCACTGAGGGTCACTCCACCAACCTCTCATATGCTGTTGTTCAGGTGCTGCCAGAAGAAAACCACAAAGCACAGGAAACAAATCCACTCACACAAAAATAACTCCCACCCAAATAATCTCACTCTCAACAACAAGTGAATCAGTATTAATAATGGTGTAAAGAGATTAAGACTATTATAAGAAAAGAAAGCCAATATGAGAAAACCTACTGAAAAAAATAATTTTCAGTGGATAGAAGGAAGAGTACTAATAAGAATAGGGAATCAAAGGAATGTGAAGAGAGAATGTAAGAAGGCAGAATGGAGTAAGAGAAGGGAAACATATTATTAGGTTTATATAGAAAATAAAATAAAATAAAATAAAGTGAGGCAGATAAAATAGAAGAAAAAGTAAATAAATAATTTTTAAAATGGTACGAAATTGGACAGAAAGATGCACCACAGCACTATTAATAGCAAATGAGCTAAAATTAATGTAGGCCAAATAGAATTAAGAGTAAAAAAAGAAAGAAAGAAAACCTTAAGACATATCTAGAGGAAAGGGAAGTGATTTTTAGGCAATAGAGGGAGAAGGAATAGTAAGCAACAGAAATGAAAACCAGGCTAAGACAGGGGATATTTAAAATCTGAGACCCAACAAAAAGTAGGAGAGAAGACTGGTAAAATTTGAGATTTGAAATACAAAATTAGTGAAGATCTATAAGTAAAACTGAAAAAATGCAACATCTACTATCCTATTGACAACCAATGAGCAATGACTGCTAAAGGTAGAGAGAGAATGTGGTTATTTTAAGAGTGAGAAAAAGAATGTGAAATGACCATTGAGAAGAAAATTGGTTTTGAGAGGCTGGACAGGGGAGAAATAGTAAGACTGTGAAATGGAAACAAATTGTAGCAAGAGAAAACAAAAATAATAAGAAGAAAGAAGAAAGTAAAATGGGGTAAGAGAAGGGTGGGGCAAAACATATGAATTGAAATAAACTATATTATAAAACATAGTGATTTAATTTTCATAAACTTGAAGGACAAGAAATGAATGTTACAAAGCTATACAGGAAAGAAAAGATCATTAATCATGGAGATCATGGTGGATTTCATCTGGTAGCATTTAGTTTTTGCCACTGTTTTTTCTTTCTGGATCTGCCTGTGGTGATGTCAGATGATGACCCTATGTGAACATAGGCAGCCTCTGTGAGACTACCAGGGATCCACTGTCTGTGGCTATCTCCTTCAGTTGTTAATCTAGTCACTTTACAGTCAGCAGTCAAACTTAAGCACCACAGAGTGAGGCAGAATCTTTCCTGGGGGTGGGGCTATTGATTCCGCTCAGGCTGCTGCCACTTGGAATGGAGTGGTCTACCTGAGCAAGATAGCTGCTGCAGTATGGGGAATGACTCTGCACCAGGATTCGGTGGCTACTGTCTCAGTTCTCTCCCCAAAGCCTCTGCCCCCAGTCTCTCTTCACGCATCTCATGTCCACTCTACCCTCCTCTCACCTTTGTGGGAGCCCAGGGAAAATGGCTGCAAATTTAAATGTATTATGTCTATGACACACATAATAAAGAGCTCTTTTCCCAACTTTCTACTGAAGGAAAATTAAATAATTTATCTTTTTCCTGAAAGTGAAATATTGGAATTTATCTCTGATTGGATGTACATGCCAGTTTAATGTGGCAGAAAATCAACAATATTTTGTAAGTTCTACTGTATCTTAATAAGCAATAAAATGTGTGAAGTAATGGGTCAACTGACAAGAGTCTGCTCTAGTGGGTTTTTCAGGATGTAATTCTTGATCACAGATACTATATTTAAAAACCATGGTATCTAAATCCATATTTAGATACCATGGCTGAATTCCCCCTTTTTTTTCCCCCCTCCTAAAACTTTTATAGAAATACTAACTGCTAACAAGAACTTAAAAACATGCCCCGGGTGGTGGGGCTCAGTGGATTGAGTGCTGGCCTGCAAATCAAGCAGTCGCTGGTTTGATTCCCGGTGAGGGCATATGCCTGGGTTGCAGGCCATACAACACTGGCTCTTTAAACAGCTGTTTGAGTCTCCAGCCATTCTTCTTTGGCAGAGCTAAACCCTGCTGCTTTTTGCACCTGGATGTTATGCACTAGCTTAGGGTTTAGACCCCACACTTTTCAGGGGTATCCAACCAGCAGCTTATATACCCCTCTGGTGCTTCAGGTGCATTCTGTGGGCACCCACCAACCCTCTCGAGTCTCTACCGCACTTCCTACCAGTCATGTTGTGCTGAAACTTATTCTTCCATCTGTCTCTCTTGCTATTGTTTAGTTGTTTGTTCCAGGTGATTTCTCCACAATTTAGTTGTAATTCTAGATTGTGTAACAATCTAGAAGATCTTTTTAAAGATTTTATTTATTTTATTAAAAGATAAAGATTTTTTTAAAGATTTTATTTATTTATCTTTAGAGGGGAAGGGAGGAGAGAGGGAGAGAAATATTAATGTATGGTTGCCTCTTGTGTGTCCCCTGCTGGGAACTGGCCTGCAACCAAGGCATGTGCCCTGACTAGGAATCAAACCACAATCCTCTGGTTCACAGGCCCGCGCTCAATCACTGAGCTATGTCAGCCAGGGTGAGGTTGTACACTTTTTAGCATGAAATATATGCTCATATGTATTTGGTAAAAAAAATTTAAAGTGCCACCATCCTGAAGGGCCATATGACAACGCAGATCAGGTGCTTTAGAAAGAAACTTGCCCTTTGACTTAGAAATTCGACTTCTACAATGCATTCTACATAAATAACCAGAGAATAGTGCAAAGATGGCTACACAAGGATGTGTACTGCAGCATTTATTACAATGATAAACTGGAAATAACCAATAGGAAAGTGGTTAGAAAAGACAAGTTTTAAAAGAAATGGTTACTTTCTAATTTAGGTATTTAAATGTTATTATATATTAAGATTTTTATGATTTGGAACATTTACACCAAAATTTCAAAACAATAAACTTTGGATCACAACTATACATGACTCAAAACTTTTATTTTTATTAGCTTTATGTGAATTATCTATATTTTCTAATTATTTTCTAAAATTGACACATATTGCTGTCTATTTGTAATATTATTTTTTAGGTAATACAGGCCAGTCAACCCAACTTTAAAAGGTTGGAGAGTACTTTTCATGATAGTTGCAAAATAAGTTTTGGTAAAATTTCTAAAGCAAAATAAGTTTTGGTAAAATTTCCAAATCCCTCTTGAGAACTAATTTTCAGAGACTCCTATTTCTATCCTCATTTCATTTCATGGGCCTTCCACATCACAAAAAATTCCCTATCAAGCACAGTGGCATAACTGTACATGCCTCTTACCAGGTAGGCTCTCCAGAATGACTGGATTCTCAGTGCTGCCTCCTCTTCTGTAAGCTGGAGGGAGAGTGGGATAGGTGGCCGAGGGCTGTAAAGCAATAAAATGGTCATATGCCAATGAGAATCCATCCTTAAGCTGAGCGAGGCCTTTGACAACATAAATGCCTCATTCATTGATAGAAAAGTTCAAACTTGGATTGGTACTTTTTATTTTTAAGTCCAAGATTTTATTTTGTTTTTTCACCAAAGTAATCTTTAAGCACTGTTAGTCTGTTCTTCTTTGAAGGACTGAGGGTGGTAAAGATGCATGTCAGTCCTGAGAGTACAAGATACATGTTATTGACATAAGTCCCTGGACACAGAACAAAAGACAGAGCAGAAGGGCTCTTTCCACAGCGTATTATGACTGACACATAAAAAAAAGTTCTACCACTATGGAAAACAGTATGGAATTTCCTCAAAAAACTAAGAATGGACCTGCCTTTTGACCCAGCAATTCCACTGCTAGGATTATATCCTAAGAACCCTGAAACACCAATCCAAAAGAACCTATGCACCCCAATGTTCATAGCAGCACAATTTACGATAGTCAAGAGTTGGAAGCAACCTAGGTGCCCATCAGTAAATGAATGGATCAAAAAACTATGGTACATTTACACAATGGAATTCTATGCAGCAGGAAGAAAAGAGCCCCTATGCTTTGTGACAGCATGGATGAAATTGGAGAGCATTATGCTAAGTGAAATAACCCAGGCAATGAGGGACAAATACCATATGATGTCACCTTTAACAGGGACCTAATCAACAAAACAAATAAACAAGTAAAATATAACCAAAGACAACTGAAACTGAGAACAGGTTGACCAGAGGGGAGAGGGTAGAGGATTATAGGGCAAAAGCGTGAAGGGTTTGCAGGGTATGAAGGGTGTCCATAAAGGGCAAATGGATAAAAACAAGGAGGGATGGAAACAGGGGAGGGAGGTGGGGAGGGTTGGTATGGTGGGGAAGGGTAGGGGAAAAAGGCAGAAAATTGTACTTAAACAACAATTAAAAAATGTTAAAAAAATCAAATAAAGGGCTCTTTCCCCCGCTTTCTATTGTAGGAAAATTAAGTAATCTGTCTGTTTTCTGAAAGTGAAATATTGGAATTTATCTCTAATCGGATGTGTATGCCAGTTTAATGTGGCATAAAGTCAACAATATTTTGTAAGTTCCACTGTATCGTAATAAGCAATAAAATGTGTGAAGTGCTGGGTCAATTGACAAGTGTCTGCTCTACTGGGATTTTTTAGGATGTAATTCTTGATCATAGATACCATATTTAAAAAACAGCTGAATTCTGTTTTCTCTTTTTTTCTTCTAAAACTTTTATAGAAATACTAACTGCTAATAAGAACTTACAAATCTGCCCTGGCTGGTATGGCTCAGTGGATTGAGTGCTGGCCTGCAAACCAAGTGGCTGCTGGTTTGATTCCCAGTCAGGGCACATGCCTGGGTTACAGGCCAGGTCTCCGATGGGGAATGTGTGAGAGCAACCACACACTGATTGTTGTAGACCGCTCTGCCTGATTTTAGGAATTATATCTCTACCCCTTGTGGCTAAGGGTGAGAGACGACCTCTGGAATGCCAGCCACAGGAGACAAAGCTTGTCTCTGGTAGCAAACGCTGCCTCAGTTCCTCTCCCTGCCCCCAGAGCTTGGTCGGAAGTCAATGACGCGTAAGACCCTTCACAGCGGGGGGGCAACCTAAGCCAGACTTGACCACTTGGCAGGCCTTCATGGAAGGACTCCGGGGGCTGCAACAGAGAGCTATGGACTCTCGCCCCCCAGCTTTGTCAAAGCCCGAGTCCCCATGTTCTCTGGGAGAAGCACTTCCTGGCTCTAATCCCCTTAAGCCTGAATACCTGATGGGGAGAGGTGCAGCTCCTTGCCTTGACAGAGTGTGCCCTGGAGAAAAATTTAGCACCACAAAGACTTGCTGATAAACCTGTGAAATTTGCTCTGCTAAGAGTGCTTTTATTCATATGATAAGGGTCCGAGAGGAAATGAGTATGTCTCTCAAAGTTTCTGCAACTCTCTTCCTGACACACACTGACTCAGATCTCTTTGTAATGTTATCTACTGTTTGATCCTTGCTGCCCTGTATTCCTGTGTATTACAACCCAATAAAAGGCTATGGAGAAAGGTGCTCAGGGCCTTTTTCTCCTTGGAGAAACTGGCCGCTGCTGGCCTCTTTCTCCCCAAAGAAACTGGCCACAGCCCACACCTCCATCCCCAAACAGATCTCATCTTGTCTCGGCCATATTTATTCACTCACGCATGTCCGTGGCACCGTGGGGACCTCGAAAAATAAGTTGCCCCCACAACTGATGTTTCTCTCTTCTCTCTCCCTGCATTCCCCTCTAAAAATAAATAAATAAAATCTTTTTTAAAAAAGAACTTACAAGTCTGACTTAATTTTAGTTCCTTTTATTTCCCCAAAGCACAGCTTCCTCTGAAAAGCAGAATTCAAGATATTTCAGATGTAGTACAAAAAAAACAAAACAAAAAACCTCTGAAAGGACATGGTTCACATGAAAGCTGTTCCCAGGGAAGGATCCTCAAAAATAAGTTTCCAAGTGAGGGACTCCCAAGTGCCCTGGCCTTCGAGCTCTCCCTAGTGACTGTCATCACTTGAGTTTATAGTAAGACCTATGTACAGAGAGGTTAACTAACCTGTCCAAGTTGACACAGCTGGTAAGTGGCCTAGTCAGGGCCCAGACCCATCCAATCACAAAACCCAGGCTTCCCTCACAATGCTGTGCTCACACCAGACCTCTATTTGGCAAACACTTATAGAAGCCCAGGCTGGCACAGACTGCCAAGCTAACTGGCAACAGTGCAGGATCCTCCAGGATCTGGGCTTTTATTTTCCTCTAAACTTTTACTTAAAAACAACCACCACCAAAGAAATCTCACCATGTGTGAATGAATGAATGCTCTTTTGAGTTATTCTAGAATCAAAGAAATTAAAGCCAGGAAGAACCATGGAGGTTAATTAGCAAGACCATTTCTAGTGGTCAGTGATATTGCCAGGTGCTGGTTCTCCAGCCACAAGGTCCTTCCTTTCTAACATACCAATAAATAAGATTTACCTACTTTAGAGAGGCAATTATACCCCCAAAATGATAGCAATATTAGAAACCTTTCCCTAATGTCCTATTTCCATTTTGATTTGAATGATGTGTTGGCTTTTTTTCCTGGTTCTATTTTTGTTTTCAGTTCTTTTTGTCTATTTTCTGTTTATTTGGGCTGTAGTGGAGCAATCATATCTTGCTGGAGGTGCACCAGCTCCCTGCATTCCACAGTAAATGTCTCTCTTTATCCACCACTCTTAATTCTCTAAATCTTGATGTGTGACAGCAACAAATCTCATCCCTTTAGTAATTCTCCTTCACTAGTTAAAAAACAATGGCTTCTAGGAAGACCTCAGTGTTTCTCAGGAGATCTTGGTGTGCCAAGAGTGAATTTAGGAGACTAATGCTATCATGAATTAATACGAGTTGGTATTTACTGAGAACTTTTCCAGTTTCCCCCTCCTGCCAGACTGGCTCCTTGTGTCCCAGCTGCGCTAGCCGTTTTCATCTCCTCCAATGTGCTCTCCCTCCTCAGGGCTTTGCTAAGGGCTTTCCTCTGCCTTCAGGGTCCTCCTACTCCAGCCAGGACACTGCATACACTAGTGCAGGTTATTCTGTCAAGGGCACACAGTGGGGCAAAGAGAACTCAAACACCACCCAGCTCTGATCAGTAAGCCGTGCTCAAGGGTGAAGGCTGCATCTACCCTAGGCTAGGAGTGTGCTTCCCTAATTTGTTAAACAGCACCTTAGGATTGGGGGAGCCGGCACTTCTTTTTCCCAATTCACCCTTATTCTTTCTTCCTCTCTCTACTTGAATACTATTGAAGGATTTTTCTGATTAGGTCAGGACCCAGTGGAGTTCTGTGCAATTTTCTTTTCTAGTCCTTGGCCCGATTTGGAGATAGAAATCTGGTTACCTAATTAATGCCCAAATCCTCAATTGAACTGAAAGTGCCACAAGGACAGAGACAGGACTTGTGTTTGTTCCTCTTGGTAGTTTCAGCACTCAGGACAGTGGTTGGCATATCATAGACACTCAATAAATATTTGTGGCATGAGCCTCTGTGCCTGGCATAGTGTGTTAAGAACTTTCCACACAAAATTTCATTAAATCCTTACAACATTAATAATGAGTTATTGTTAATCTTCTTTCAGAGAGAAGAAACTGAGGATAAGAAGAATGAAGAGACTTGTTCAAGCTGACTGACTATTTTTTGCAGAGAATGCAAACTGGGCAGGAAGCAAAGAGAATGGCTCAAAGAGAAGAGAACAGCTTACAAGTTCACTAGTAGGGAACAATGGATCTCACAGCTGCAAGTGTCAGACAAAGGAATACCCAGTCACTTGCCTAGAAGAAGAAAATGAGGGTGGAAAAGCCATAATCATAAAAAATACCCTCTTCATCACTCCTTATAATAGCTTGGCAGATATTCTCTTGTCTGAAGATCCACAGAGACTGTCAGGACAGAACAAAGTGGAGTTCATTACTCATATCTGGGGGACATTTGATGATGCCTTTCTGCTCAACTGTAATTTTTCTGCTTAATGTGTTTTCTCTCTTGATGTCATGAAATAATCAAAGTAACAATATTCCTGTTTTGGAACAGCAGTAGAAAAGGAGAACTGCAAATTTGGGACCAACAGGCTGGGTGGGCATTCACCGGTAATGAAACCCTCAATTGCCCTGCATCACAGTGATATTTCCAAAGGTGAAATGAGATTTCTAGTTCTGCCAAGATGGAGGTGTAGGTGGGAACACTTTTCATCCTCGGACACGCAAATCTAAAAACAACAAAGTTTTAACTACAATAAACACACCCAAACCGCACAGAAAATCGATTATGGAGTCCGGAAACAACGGATCACTCAGCTAATCCAGTAAGAGGGGCGAAACCAGCATCAGTGCCAGTCGGGCAAAAAAGAACCGGGCGGTGCAAAGGCAGCCGGGGACTTGGATCCCAGGTGCGGGCTA